ACTGTGACTCAGGACAGGAAAGTCAAATTAACCCTTTCCTCCCCGAGTTGCTTGTGTCATGTTCTGGGTTGCAAACCTTGAAATTCAGCACAATTCAGATAGGAACCCTAACTGAGACCCTCTGTAAGCATGAAGAGCGAAGTCTGGATCCCCAAAATCCATATAAAGAAGCCGCTCACATTTGTAATCCTATTGCTGTGGAGGCAGAAACAGGAGGATGCCCCAGGCTGGCGACCCACCCAGTCTAGCTAAGCAGTGAGCTCCAAATTGATTTCAGAGAGAGAGAGAGAGAGAGAGAGAGAGAGAGAGAGAGAGAGAGAGAGAGATATCGATCCTGTTTCAAAAACCAAAACCAAATTGAGAGGCTCTGTCAGTGGTTAAGAACACCTGTTACTCTTGCAAGGGACACAGGTTCAATTCGTATCATCCACACAGGAACTTACAACCATCTGTAACTCCACACCCAGGAATCCCACACCCCATATTCTGACCTCCAAAGGCACCAGGCATGCACATGGTTTACATACATACATACATGCACGCAAAACATTCACACACATAAAACAGAAAATAAATCTACTTCTTTTAAGGAGTTGGAAGAAGACACTCCACAGGACTTCTGTTTTACACACACACACACACACACACACACACACGCATGTGCACACTCCTCCTTATATATACATACATACATACAAGCATACTCCCCCTCTATATGCCTCATTTCCATGAACTCAGAGATGGCTGACTTCTCTCTCTGAGCACTTGCCAGAGATCAAATTGCACTCACTTTGTCTCCTAAAAGAGCTTCACCAGGGCAAGGAGGGACATCTGCCCCCCATGAGCCCCAATCACTGCAGACAGCAGCACACAACAAGCAAATGAATTCCTCTAAACTGCTGCTAATGCCTCTCAGGCATTCTGATCGAACAGTGGGGGGGGGGGGAGCACTGGAACTCCTCCTGATCCCCACCTAGGGCTGGGCATTCTCCCTCCTTAAAACAGGATCACAAAGTGGAACCCTGTCTTTTGGCTAAACCTGTTAATGAAGGAAACAGGGCAGCGTCCCTTCCCCTACATCAGTTTAAAAAGAGTCATTTATTCTCATCCTTGTAACTAGGCAAGGACCATGGGTGAACACCAGCTGGAAAATGTGTCATTGTTCAACTGCTTAAATAACTCTAAGAAACCCTACGGTGGGGAGGGGGTTGCAAACCTTGAAATTCAGCACAATTTACCAGTGTTTCTGTTCACCAGATGAAGGACTATTGGCCTCAATTTGCAGATCTGACAAATGGGAATAGTGATAAGTACAAAGGGAAGTCCTGAAGATCTCCCTCCTTGGCTTTGGGTGGAGGTTTTGTCCCAGGAAGGAAGCTCCGTGGGAGAGTGTTCCGGCCCCAGGAACTGAGTAAGTGATCATTGAGACGTGTGAGTCCGAGTGGTAAGGCATTTTACGATAGGACACAGTGACCTTGAGTTCTAGTCTGAACAGCTTGTGATGGAGCCCCAGCCCCAGGCCAGACCTCACCCGTGGGCTGAGTCTTTCAATTGGTTCCTCCGACTACAGCCAAGCGCAGCACTAGGATGGCGTAGGAGGAAAAAACTGCCTCACAACCCATGATGGCCAAACACCAGCAAGATATACCTTGCCGGGGATCCAGACTCAGAGCACCCTCCCGCTCCCCCTTACTGCATCAATTTCATCCCTACTCCAGGCTCCAAGGAGATTACAGGCTTCCCGGTTACTGGGCGGAGCTGGGCCTAATGCTGGAGCGCCCGACTTCAGGAGTCAGGCCTAATGGGGGGCTTCTCTTTTCACCGGCTTCGGACGCCCCCGCCCCCCTCGCCCCCTCCAGCAAAGAAAAGCTCTCTGGCTATTTCCATTCCCTCTGAGCTCAAGAGTCCTGTTATTTAATACCGTGGCCACCCCGGCAGCATCCTGCCGAGGCCTGCTCCACCCATCTACCTGGCCAATTCACCGCTGCTCCCTTTTCTTTGAAGGGGAGCAATCGGGAAAACTGCCTTCTGCAACAAAAGGCACAGGGCAGCAAGATTACAAAGAACAGCGACTTCTGAGAACTGGGAGACAAGGGCCCGAGTAGAGAAGGGGGCACCTAGCCAGGGCAGCAGAGGGCGGGCGGAAGCCCGGGGCATTGCGGACATTACTCTGGGGCGGGAGAGAGGCGGGGTTGAGAGGTGAGGGCCAGGCCTCTGGCTGAGTGGACAGAATCACCCCGGGGGGTACTGGAGCCGGAAGAGGCCTGGCCCAGATACTGTCCACACCCAAGAAATGGGAGGAGGAGTGGTCTGCACTTAGGGAGCCAGATTCACTCAACAACCCCCCACCCTACCCTTCTTTGAAATAGACAAAAGACATTTTCTTAATTTTTGGCAAATGAGGCTGGAAGGTCCCTGCCCCCGACGTCCCCAGGCGCCACTGATCTTGAAAAAGGAGAAGGTTCCCAGTAGGGGGTCCTCTCGCTCCCCCTCCCCATCGCCTGAGGCGACAAGAGATACGCTGATCGAGGTGTGTCCTCCCCCACCCTGCTCTAGGCCCAGAATCCCGAGGCCGCAGCGCCCCCCACCCTCTAGTCACACTGACGGTTCCTGCCCAAGCCCGCAGTGGCGTGAAGGTGGCCTTTACCTCCTCTCGCAGGCTGGGAGGAGGGTACAACCCACGCAGCTGAGCCAGCGGCAGCAGTCGCCGCCGCCCTCCATTCATTAAAAAGAAAAAAAAAAAAAAGGAACAACAACCTCCACCCCTCTTTGTAAAAGAACGACGGCCCCTGGAGGAGCAACAGCCGGCCCCAACAATCACGGGTTAAGCTCTTTTCCGGCCCCCCATTCATAAAAAAAAGAAAAAGGGAAAAAAAAAAAGCGCAGCGCATGCGCGCACGGGGTCGCTTGTGCCCACCCATTCATAGAATCGCGGGCGGCGCGCGTGCGCAGTGGAGCTCTCTGCCCTCCCATTCATAAAAAAGCCATTTTCCCAGGCAAGGGTTGCAACATCGCCGCTGAGGCAGCGAGCAGAGCTGACAGCGGCGGAGCTGGCGCTGCAGGACTCAGGGAGCCTTGCCGGCTCCTCTGACTGGCGTCTGCGAGTACAACAGCGACTGACCCACTCCGGTTCGGGCATTTACATAGACGTGGAGCGATGCTTGTGACTCTGCAGCTCCTCAAAGTAAGTCCATAGCCGATTGGAGATCTGAAAGTACCCCCTCGGTGCCGTGACGCGGCTCCCCACGGGCTGGGGCCAATGGTACGCTATTTCGAGCCGCTTCGGTGTTCCTTCCCTTGGTCTGCGCCTCCTCGAGTCCCTGCGGTACGCCGCAGCTACCAGGCGCGCCCGGCCGGCACGGCGCTGGGGGTGTTCGCTGCCTGGCACTGCCGTTGCCGACCCTGGGCATTGCCAAGTTGGGCTTCCGCGCCCTCTGCGACTCGGGAAACCTTGGTAGTGTCCGGAGTTTGCCTCTGGCCTGGCCTCTTTCCTTCTCCTGCCACTACTCCTTGAGCGCGGAACCCGCAGCCCCGGGCTCGCTCTGGAGCGACCGCTTGGGACTTGGGGGCGCCCTACGTTTGGGCGGCTCGCCCACCCCCGGGCTCCGTGCCCACGGTGCCAGTTGTGCCGTGGGTCTTCCCAGCCCTTCCTCAGGGGCCTATGCTCGACGTAGCTTTTTTCTTTCCCGGTTCCGAGCCGTGGAGGACTAGGTTTCCTCGGCTGCTTCCCCACTGGATGGTCAGCGTGGGGCCGGCCAAGGACTGAGCTTTTCTGCTCCCTCTCCTTGGCGAGGCGGTTCCAGACCGTCTGACCTTTGCTCGGCTGCCTCATTTTATGCTGTGCAACTACCTTGCTTCTTCTTTCCCTAGCCTCTTCTGGGCCCGAGGCTCCTTGGCCATCCGGTACCCCCATATCCTCAGACATCGATCTTTGCCAGGTCCGGGAGCCCCTGGGCCTCTAGTAAGGCTGTGGTGGGGGCTGAAGGTGCGTTTACATAACGCCGGGCGTGTGGGAGCTGGAGGAAGAGGTTGCATGCGTAGGAGAGATAAGGTGCCCACTTTGCCTCCTTGTTGGTATCAGACTTGACAACACGGAGAATAGAGGATAGAGACGGTATGTTCTGAAGAATTGGGAGTCGCCAGAGCCACGGGGGCATTGAGGGGGGTAAGGGAGAAGACGGGCTTGGCCAACCCGGGCAGCTGGAGCTTGGCTTCATCACTGGGGCCACGGCTGTGCCCAGTTCCCCCTCCAAGCAGACGATCAAAAAGCATTTACAGTAGCTGCTCTTGGGCAAGAAGACGGTTTCTCAATTCTTTTGATTGGGGGCTGGGGGTTGTGGGCAGAGGAAGAGGCGAGAGACAGAAAGATGGTTGCATGGCTTGAAGGGCTAAGGGATGGAGTTCTAGGCGACATGGGCTGGAAGGGATTGCATGCAGAGGGGAAAGCTGCTGGCTGGGCATCCATATTGTCAGGCCTGGCTCAGGGCAGAAGGCCTCCTACTGCGCAGGGAATAGGCTCCCCGGAACCCTGCGACGCTGCAAGGAAAAGATAGATTCCTTGGGGTCTTCAGATGCAATCAATGGCAGTCTCCTCTTTAATGTCACCAACCAGTGGTTTGATTCTCCCCATTTTGAGGAGAGGCAAGGGGACCTGGGGAGGGCAGGAGCTCGGGCACATCCCCTCTGTGGGTGACCAGTGCAGCAGCCTTCTAACAGGCCTCTACGCAGCACCAAGCTGGAAGGTGAGACCCAGAGCAGTTGGGAAATAGAGGTTTATCAATCTCTTAATAAGTTCCGTCTGGCCTAAGGCCCTACCCAATATTGCACCGCTGGATTTCACAATGTTTGGAGTTCTCGATCTTCACACAAATGGGGCAACAAACATCTGAGATTTTCTGCTTCTAACCCCACGTTAGTGCGGTTGTGGAGATCGTGGATGTGTCCTGAGAGGAAGGACTACAGCTGCTCAGGCTCTTTCTCTGAGGGAAGTTGTAGGGTCGACACCCCTGAGGTGGCATTTCCTCTGTTTCCAGGTCTTTGGGAGGGTCCCTTGGCTCCAGGAAAACCCTCTCCAGGCTGGAGCAGGTGAACTGTGTTAGTGAGCACTTAGATTGCTGAACCCTGAGTGGACGACTAGGTGGAGGGAGGCTTTAAGGACATCCCTTGCTTGTATCCCATCTGAAATTTTAGACCTGAGTTCAAGAGTCTCTTTCCTTCTGGGATATCCATGCCTTCTTGCTGGATCCCACAACCTTTTCCACATTGCCCTCTGAAATGGTAACCTCACCACAGCTTTGGTTCAGCCTGGTGGGAGGAGACAGCACAGACTAGATCCATTCAGGGCAGATGGGAGGCTGGGCATCCACCGTCCTTTCTGCCTGTATCACGTTCCAGAATTGGCAATTTGGAAATCACCCTTTGCCCAGTTCATACTTCTTTTTCACTGTCTTGTGAACTTAGCACTATATGTGCCCAGAGGTTTGGCTGGCTTTCTAAAACAACAGAAAACAAATGAAGGCAAATAAGCCATCCAAAATGAAGGGAGAGACAAAACCCATGAACACGCTCCTAAGTGGCTTTTGAAATGTGTCACTCTTTGGATCAGGCATAAGGACTTTAAATTCCAGTCCCTTGCTGTGGTATCCTGCCCTGTTGTGGACTTCTATAACATTTTAAATTTAGTTTTAAGGCAGGTTCTCCTTATGTAGCCCTGGCTTTCCTGGAACTCGCTCTGTAGATGAGGCTGGCCTCAAACTCAAAGAGATCCACCTGCCTCTGCCTCCCAAGTGGGGATTAAAGACTTGTTAGCATGTTTTTTTGTAAATCCATGCCTGGTAGATAAAGCCTGCATGTTGATTACAAGATGGCCTAGGAAGAAGGGCCCTCTTTGGAGTTTTAATTTGGTTCTGATTCTAGGGTATCTGTACTCAGGTAGAACCAAGAGGGAGTTGCATGTGCCCAGCTGAGGGACGATTCCTGCCACCTACTCAGTCTACTAGGATGTTTGGAGCTTGGGGAGTAGACTGAACAGGGTTTGCTAACTGGCTTGCTTGTTTTGAAACAGGGTCTTGATTTGTAGGCACAGGCTAACCCTGAACACACACACACACACACACACACACACACCTCCCCAGAGCTGAGGACCGAACCTAGGGCCTTGCACTTGCTAGGCAAGCACTCTACCACTGAGCTAAATCCCCAACCCCAATCCTGAACTCTTAAAATTTTACTTTATTATATGCATAAATCGAGTGCACATGCATACTTCCATGTGAATGCAATTGCCCACAGAAGTCAGGCATTGGATGCCCCGGAGCTGGAATTAACAGACTAAAGTTATCAGACTAAAGTTTTAACAGCTGCCTAAAGTTGGCGCTGGAAACTAATCTTAGGTCCTCTGGAAGACCAGTATGTGCTCTTAATAGCTAAGCCATCTCTCTGGCCCCATAACCTTACTCTTTTTTTCTTTTTTAGAGACAGGGTTTCTCTGTGAACAATCCTGGGCTGTCCCAGACCTCGATTTTGTAGACTAGGCCGGCCTCGAACTCGTAGAGAGATCCACCTGCCTCTGCCTCCCGAGTGCTGGGACTAAAGGTGTGCGCCACCGCCAACTAGCAGAGGTTCTTAATCTCCCTGCCTCCTGTAATCTTGAGTGCTGGCTTTACAGATGTGCCACCTTGCTGAGTTATGGCAGGGTTTTTGTTTATTATTGTTTTTGGAGACAAGGTCTTGGCTGGCCTGAAACCCGCCTGGGAGACAAGCTGCATCCAGCTTGGGAGTAGAGTCCTCCTGCCTCTGCCTCTGGAGTGTGGGCATTACAAGCAGGCAGGCTGCACCGTGCCCAGTTTATAACGGGGTTTTTAAATAAGGGGTGGCGCGAGAGTGGAGAAGAACACAGTGACTCGTGGCGATAGGTTTTGGTAAGGAGACAGCGACTAAAGCTGGGGAAACTGTTACGGGTCCTTTCAGACTAGGCAAGGGCTGGTAAGCCTGGGCCTTAGGGGTGAGCAAACTCCCAGAGCCCGTGGGACCAGGGGCAGCCAGTAGGGCTTGTTTGTGGCTAGGACCGAGGCAAGTTCACTGTTAATATGTACTCTTAGGGGAGAGTCTAGTCTTAAGGACCTTTTGAATAAGGGGCACAGGAAGTAGTAGAGGGTGCTGTGTGATTTAAAAGGTGGGGGGTATTGGTTCTCAGGGAGCTGGGGCTACCCTGCAGATCTGGACAGCTGACTAGGTTGGGGAATGTGTCGGCGACATGTGGCCAAGCTTAAGAGGCCCCGCTGTTCAGCTGTGATGGGGGTGGTTCTTTCCAAAGAAGGGCCTCCAGTCAGTGGAGGAAGCGAGGAAGCAAGGCGCTGTAGAGAGAGGCACAGATGTTCTAGGTCCAGTGGAGGAAGGGAAGGGGCCCTGGGGCAGGTGGCCCAGTTGCACCAGAGCCGTTTTCCTTACCCGTCTGTTTCTGGCTGGGAAAGGGGGAAGTCATTTCCTGTTCAATCCCAAGGGTAAGCTAAAAATCTATTGTCAGTTCTGTCTCTTGGTGGAGGTTGGGGAGACAATAAGACCATCTTGGTGATGTCTAAAAGGCCTTTCAAGGAGCTGGGGGGGGCGGGCGGTCTGCAGGTGTCTGGTCACATTCTACACTTTGGCCTGACCAATTCCTGAGTGGTGCTGCTGGTTAGCAGGCCCCATCTAGGGCCCTTCCTTTGTGGCATGGCTTCCAATCTCTCTTAATGGGGTACTGGGCAGACACAAGTATATGGGTGCACAGATAGCAAAGCAGAAGCTTGGAGCTGGTTAAAATTGCTCAAAAGACAAGGAAAGGGAAAGGGGCTGAAAACT